ATATAATTTAGTTGAATATTATAATCGAGTAATATTATCTTCAAAAAAATTATAATGGGGACAGGTTGGGACCAACACTGGCTTACAATAATAACATATATGATAACCAAGTCTTTCTCTAGTAAAGTATTACGCTCTTTCTGAAAAGGTAAATAATCACCCAGGCTTGGTCAAATCATGATCTATGTCTAGTGCATGTTTTCATATCTTATTATTTCAGTGGGAGAGCCTAAATATGACTTAACCTTTTCATTTCACTAATGGCACTCTAAAATTTAATTTTGGATGAATTTTTTCCATAGATTATATTTGTCACTGATAATGTACATACTCTAGTAATACTTTTATATTACATGTTTAGGCAATTCTGTGTGCCCACGTAGTTCTGTTAATTCCCCTTGATGCCCTGTTGGAAGATCTAAGTCCTGGTCATACTAAAAAATGTTTGACACTACAAATGTTTGCACTTCAAAATTTGTGCTGTTGCTAATTGTGTACACAACACCTTTTAATTTCGTTTATTTAATATGGATATTTTTATTCATGTTGCCTCTCATTTTTACCTATCAGGCCCATGATAAAGATACTGGCAACTATAGCGCCATGCAATATAGACTCATCATTCCTCCAATCAAAGATGGCAAGGAAGGGTTTGTGATTGAGCCATATACAGGGCTTATCAAAACAGCAATGCTCTTCAAAAACATGCGGCGATCTTATTTCAAGTTTCAGGTCATTGCAACTGACAATTTTGGAAAAGGGTTGAGCAACAAATCAGATGTACTTGTAAGTATGATTGAATCGATACTTTTCAAGGATTGTTCTTGTACGTTTCTTTTAGAATGAGATCCCTGTTTTTGCAGACATTTGTCTTCGTAGTTTCTTGATCTGGTTGCACTGGATGGAGCTTCTGCGGAGTTAGTATAGGTAGCTGCGAGTCTTTTCTTGCTGATGTCTGCTTGGGATGGCAAAAGCAAGTCTTATCAATCACTTGAAGATGATGATATTTATTTGGTTTGTAATAAATATATTTAACAACCCCTAATTATTTTATTTTATCTGGAATTGTGTGACTGTTTTATTTCCCTTTGACTGTTTTTTTTCTGTATATTTCTTTATCCAATAATTATTTTTACATCTAGAGAGTTGGCTTCATTTAGTTAATAAAATAATTTCCTGTTAAAATTCCATTACATTTTCTGTGGAAATCATCCCCCTGTGCAATCTTCCCCATTGTGTTTCAGGACTGGCACAAGGTTTGTTAAGGTTTGCATTTCTCAGCACTGGGCATGAAGATCTAACACATCTTCATTTTTATTTTTACTAGGGCTGGCTGGAGGGAGAAATCATGGGAATTTTGTTGCTCTCTCTCAAAGGAGGGATGGTGTGTGTGTGCATGTGTGTGCATGCACATCTGTATGTGCAGGGTTATGTCTAGCCCTTGAAATCAAAATGTTTGCTTACACTTATTTGAAGGAGAGGACCTTAATTCATTGCAAGTGCATATGTTTTGAATTGATGTATCTCCAGGTATGGCTGGAAAAGGCTCCTGTCAAAAATCCTAGACACCTGTTGTGGGTCGGTGTACACAGGACTGAACTGGATGGGCTAATAAGTGGAGATGTCATAGATGGCAAAAAAATTGCAGATCACTGAAAAATTAAGGCAGTTTTCTAACTGCCTTGCAGATACAACAACATCCACCCACCCACACACATACACATATAGCAATGTATGCTATTCTAGATGCTCACTGACCTTCAGAATGCATTTTAAGGATCTGCATAAAAAGTCCAGATGCATATATAGGACTAGAAGACAGTTTCAGCTGGAAATATTATCTGGCCTAAATTATCCACCTGTGCCAAAATTAAATTTGGACTCACTTTTCATCAGTATAACCATAACACTGCTTTCCTTTTAGTTCAATAGCATTACTTAAAGGAGTTTTGTTGAATTTCAAAAAATTGTACATTAGTGTTTATTAAAATTCTTGCATTATCTCACATATGGTTTGTCATTTACAAATCCCCCTTCAGAGAGCAAAGCAGGCTGTTTTTGTTTTTAATATAGATTCTAAAATGCATTCATTGCCCTAGATTCTAAAAATGTATCAAAATAATCCTCCAGAACAAGGGAGTGGACAAAATATATTCTGTCTGTAGATAGTAGCCCAGTTTTAACAGGGGTCATTTTGGGTTGTTCTGAGCTTTTCCAATCACTGTGGAATTTGAGATGCTATCAGGCCAGGCATGTTTAGTTGCAGGGCATAACCAGTCAATCAACAACTTGCCTTTTTGGGTCAGTAACTGTGCAGAGGGGATTGACAGCCAGAATCTTGGTCCCCGGCTCTTTGTCTTTGTTTAGAAGTTTTGCTCTGGCTCCTCAGTTTAGCACAAAGCATTAACCTCTTCCTTATACAATAATAAGGGGAACAATTCAACTCTTTTAGGGTCTATCTTGATAACATAGGGATAGACTGACCTTATCATGGCTTGCATCCTCTATTTGAGCTCCTTTTTGAGTAAGGACCCCCTATGGTAGGAATGCAGTTGGGAGCAGGGCAAACCAGATGTCCTCTGTAATACCTCCTATACCTGCAAGGCAGTGAAATGGTTTTACCTCCATAGTAACATTAACTCCCTTTGCAAGAACACTGAAATTAGCTAAGAATTGTGATTGAATGTGCTTGGTAGTGCGGGGAAGGAGTCATCTTGCTTTTTCTTTTCAAATCTGTATGTTTATTGTTAAAATTTGAAATACAAAGAAAGTAGGGGGGGAAAGCAAGATGATTACCCTCCCCCTCTAAAAAAAACCTGCTACATTTGAATGTTTTAAATAAATTGTTGGAGCTACATCTCTGCTTGGAAGAGCCCCAAGACTTTTCCTTCAAGATCTTGTGTGTTTGGAATGTATTTATTTATTTAAAAGACTTATATCATGGAGTGCTGGTTCTTTTCATCGTCTAACAGAATATCAAATTATGTTTCCAACATCATGATGATTAAATTGTTTTAAATGCCATCAAGTAACCAAGCTACTTATGCAATTCAGGTACTCAGAAGGTCTAATGAAATTAGTTGACCTTTGTGCTACTTCAGACATTATTAAGAGACTTAGTTTTGTCGTCAAGCGTATATGCTGTACATCAGGAAACATGCTTTATATTTTATATGTATATCCAACTGTTTGATTTAGTTTTCAGCTGACTTGTGATTGGTACTATTATAGAATTTGTATGCTGTGTTGCCAATGGTTTAACTTAAGTTACTTGACTAATTTGTGGGCTGTAGAGGTCATTGTATCAATTTCACTCTCCTCTCAGCAACCCAATTGCTTCTTTTTCTTACCCAGATAAGCTGAAAAAAACATGGCCTTATGTGACCGAGGAAATTACGAATTTCCTCTGCTTGCAGCCTCAGTTGTATGTAGACCACGCTATTCATTCAAGCTAATTTCCTAACAGCACACCATTCTTGCCACTAAGGTTATACTTCATCTGAGATGAAAAGGGAGTAGAAACACAGCTTGATCAGCTCTTTCAGTGTTCATATGGATAAATTCTCCGTGTGCTTACACTATACCTTGCCCTTGCTCTCCTTGTATACTCTATACACAGAAGTCAATATGATCTGAGATTTTCCTGCTTTATTTATCCTGCTATTATAGATAGATGGATAGAGACTGATAGGAAATGGTGTGTTTTAAATATAGATAATATCCTTGAAGGTCAATTTTGTGTCACAAATCCTACACTCAAGTGCACAATTTGAAGAGTGAATCTCCATATAAAAAGACACAAAATTGCAGACAGATTTTGTAGAGTTATAGTACAGGTATGGATAGTAAAAGGCAATATGCAAATAATGGTCTGTTGTATGTTTCTTAATTATAAAATCTGGCTTGTTTAAATGAAAGCATATCTTTTAAAAAAAAAATTGGTATTTCAGCCATATTTGTGCTTTAAAATCTCACCAAGTTTAAGGAGAGAAAATTGTCTTGTCATTTTATTATAGTAAGTTTCTCCATTCAGGCTCCATATCGCTGGCAATCAGAGGGAATTCTCAAATGAGATCCATTTTCTACTGAGAAATATTACACATTTTGCAGACTCAGCTACATTTTTGCTTCTCTGTTTCAGGTCTCAGTAGTCAACCAGCTGGATATGCAAGTCATCGTCTCAAATGTTCCTCCTACTCTTGTAGAACAAAACAAAGAACAGCTTATAGGGTAATGAATATGTTCATTCCATAATCACCAAAAAGTCACTTATACTTTAAAACATACAGATCCAAAAACATACAAAAAACTGTCAATTTTTGTAATTTATTTATTTATTTATTTAAAAGATTTATATGGCTGCCCATCTAAAAACACAACTCTGGGCAGCTCACAATAACAATAAAATCCAGTAGTATAAAAATCATAAAGCATAAAACCATAAAACCAAAACAGAACCTTGTGCCTCAGTCATCCCCTTGGAATGCCCCACAACCAACTCCAGACATCCTCACTCTACCCCAGCTCCTGGGTAAAAAGCCAGGTCTTGATGGTCTTCCAAGAAGCTAAAAGGATGGGAACCTACCAGGTCTCTGGGGGGAGGGTGTTCCATAAGATAGGAGCAGCCATAAAAAAGGCATGCTTCCAAGGTCCCACTAGATGACAAGATTTCAGGGAAGGGACCTGGAGAGTGCCTACCATATTCAATATGATAGGATGGGCAGACACTGTCAGGGAGAGGTGGTCCTGCACATAACCTGGTCCCATGCCATGTATGGCTTTAAAGGTGGTACCCAGCACCTTGAATTGCACCCAGAAGCCAACTGAGAGGCAGTGCAGCTTGAACCAGCGCAGCTCATGCAACAGAGGTGTAACTTGGGCGAATCTAGAAACACCCAATACTGTGCGCCCTGCTGGCTTCGGCACCAGTTGTAGCTTCCGAGTGGTCTTAAGGGTGCCCCACGTAAAGCACATAGCAGTAATCCAAACAGGAGGTGAGTAAGGAAGTAACTGTAATATCATTGGTAAATCATAAAACCAAACAACCTCCCCTAGAGATTAGTCAAACCAAGTACCCTCTACACAAGGCCACTAACTTGGTTCAGGCAATCCTACTAAGCTTTGGTATCAAGGAATCTGTGCAGTCCCTAATTGTTTAACTTGGCTCAAGGAAATGTCTTGATTTGATGAGCTAAAACTTAGATCCTTTTCACATATTCTCTGTGACTCAATCTCCAAAGCTATGTGACTAGAATCACCTATGTTGCAACCCTGTCTACTGACTCATCAACTTAGCTTAGAGTTTACATAAAGGTGTAAATTAACCCAAGTGTTTGCTAAAGGGGCTTCCCCAAGCTTAATTAGCTTTGCACAGCTCTCATTTAAATTAGTATGCAGGGCCTAGAAGGAATCAAGGAATGTAGCAACTGCAGCAAGGAATTTCAGGCTGGCCCTGAAAGACAAATCCCACATTGCTGTTTTAAAAATATTATTAACAAAACCCCATTATAGTTGCCTTTTTAGTAAAACAAAACAAAACAGAAACCTGCCCCTATTAAAAGCTACTTTTTCCCCCTCTATTCCCTATCGAAGATACCAGCTCTTAATGGACACCACCACCAGTACAATTAAATTATTAAAATGTATGAATCATTTGTAACACTAATGAAAGCTTGCTGTCCCATTTGGGAATGATAGTAACTTTTAAGGCAAAAATACTTGCTTTTCAGAAAAGTAATAATTATTTCACGGTTATCAAAAGTGGATTATAAGATTGAGGATTTTGTTAGATTTCCCTTTTTAAATGATGATAATACAATAAATATAACATGTAATATATAATAAAAATGTCCATGTTCAGAACTGAGCAAAGCCCCATGGACCATAGCATACATCATTACTCCCAAGGGAAGATCCCAGAAAATAATTTGGGGGTGCTGATGCTGATACTACGTGGACATGTAATGGATTGCTCCCATGGAAGAGTAATCACTGGGACTCCATCTAAAACAGGGTTCCCCAAAATGGCCAATATCAACCCCCAAGGGTTGATGGGACTATCCAAGAGGCCAATGTTGTTGTTGATTAGTCATAGTACTATTAGTTAAAGTAGTATTTATTAAATTATTTTCATATAATGTTTGGGGGTTGATGAACAATCTGAAAGTTCAAGAAGGGGTCAGTGTGTTTGGGGACCTCTGATCTAAAATGAGAGGAAAACTAGTTTCTTTAATATCCCCCAAAAGGATTCCAGGAAGCCAAAGACAAAACTATAAGTTGAACTAAGTCAGTCCACTGACTCCCAGTGCTTTGTACTCAATAAGACCCATGAGGTATGGAAGGAAAAACAATAAACAAAGACATAGAAAAGAATTGGTTGAAAATTATGTGAAGAACAGCAAATGGGAAAAAAGGCAGAGCCTCTTCTATTCATTTTATGACAGTGATTGTCAACAATTAAAACATAGCTCTTCTTATAGTCTGGCTATTATTTTTATATTGGCTCAGATTTTTATTGCACGGCTTGAGGTTATGGATTTACATAACGTTGGTAATATTGATTTAATTCTCCATTACTGTGCCATATGGACTACTTTTAAAGAGAAACTCATGCAGCTGCACATTGACTATGTATGTGGAAATCTATTCTTGTTTATAGATCACATTGGATGCATCTTAACAGTTGTCAGCTCTGTTTTTTTATGATCCTGACACATTCTAGTTCTGCACTTGCATTGTTTAAACAACCTTTTAACAACTTTTTCAGTTTCTGAACATACCTGTGACTTAACTGCCAGTCTTGCTTATTCTGTTCCAGTAAGCCTGACAGTCTGGCACTCCAATTTTTCTCAGAGGTGTAAACCTTAGGCGTGTGAGATGTATGGCCAATTTTGTGTTATATACACTCATATACATATGGCAACTCACTGTGAGCATAGCTTGTGGAATTGAATAGCTTCTGTAAAAAGATAAAACCTATTCCTTTATCACGCCTACCAGCTCCATCTGTAAAATACCATTGCAATTTCTCTCCAAACTATTTAAAACTCAAATCCTATCATAAACACTAAGAGGTAGAATTTGCCTCCTTCCTTCCTTCCTTCCTTCCTTCCTTCCTTCCTTCCTTCCTTCCTTCCTTC